CACAATCAGAATGGTAACGACCTAATTTGAAACTACCACCAAAACAGATTAAATTTACATTCAGGTTTTTGGCAACTATGTGATTTTTTATTGCTCATATTTAGCTTATGATTAACAGGTCTTTTTCACGAATACTGCTATCAATTTTTCATTTACTTTTCAGTGAAGACATTTGCATTTGTCACTATCACATTTCATCTCTTTATTTTTTTCTCCATCTTGTTAAATAGAAAGTTTCTAAATTTTCTTACCAATTACATTCTCAGTTTGACTACATTTATAATAGCATAAATTACAGATTGTGATGTGGGGATACATGGCATTTCCATCTTAAGACCTTAAGAAATGCCTTGCATCTGATTTGCATAAATAACATTTCCAACAGGTTTTTTTTAGATATTACTAAATGTTTTGCTTATCTTCTTTTGGGATTTGATATTCCAGCTGTCAGTTGATCTTAATGTTATGAAATGAAAAGTATGCCATTTGCAATTAACTTGGCATAAAATAATTCATTTGCATTTAATTGTAATGGTTCAAAGAACGTTCGGAAAAATGTTCGGCCCTCCAGCACGTTCACTTCATCCAATCTGGCCCTCTTTGAAAAAAGTTTGGACACCCCTGGTCTAGCCTCTTCTTAAAAATCTCCAGTGATGGAGTGCTCACTGTTCTGTTCTGTGCGTTAGTAAGGCATTGAGACGAGGCAAAAGTAATAACAGTTGTTACTTTATTAAAGCTTCAACAGAACCTCAACAGAACCTCTATGGCAAAACCCCTATTTGCAGAGTGCAAACCGCCGCTTTCGCAGAGAGACTGAGATCCACGATCGTGATCGTGGTCCTCCTTCCCCACGAGAGCAGAGTCAGGAGTGGAAGGGTGACTAGGTAGCCTCCATCGCAGCTGGTCAATGTGCCGACGCAGCACGTGACCATCTTCCAAGGCCACTTCGTATGACAGTGGCCCCGGAACCTTGCAGACCACTGCTGTCACCCAGAGATATCCAGGTACATAGTTCCTTGTCCAAACCGGATCGCCCACCTGTAGTCTCCTAGGTGCCCATGGCTGTGACACCTGTGAAGCCACCCGGTCTGGGTGCAACCTGTCCAGTTTGGTAATGAGACGGCGACCCCAGCGGAGTTCAGCTGGGCTCTTGCCTGTAGCTGTGCAAGGTGTGGTGCGGTGGCAAAGGAGAAAATCAGCTAACCTGTGGTGCCAGCTCCCATGAGTGAGCCTCTTCAAGGCGTCTTTGGTTGTGCGCACCATGCACTCAGCTTGGCCGTTGGAAGCCGGATGAAAGGGTGCCGAAGTAGCATGACGAATCATGTTGGCTTGCAGGAAAGCCTGGAACTCCGAAGAGGTGAATTGAGGTCCGTTGTCGGAGACAAGGACATCTGGCAGCCCATGAGAGGCGAAGATCCCTCTCAGCACCTGGATGGTCCTGGCAGTAGTCGTGGTGGACACTGGAATGACCTCTAGCCATTTAGAGTGACTGTCCACAACAATGAGGAAGAATTGCCCCTGAAAGGGGCCAGCGTAGTCGATATGAACCCTCGACCAAGGAGCATCTGTGTCCTCCCACCTATGTACAGGAGCCTGTGGCATTTCAGGCCTGGACTGTTGGCAATTGTGGCACCCTTGGACCTGGGCCTCAATCTCTTTATCAAGCCCAGGCCACCAAAGATAACTGCGCGCAAGCGCCTTCATCTGGACTATTCCCGGATGTCCCTCATGCAGAGACTGCAAGACTCTAGTCCTCAATGAGGTTGGGATCACTACCCTACTACCCCACAGGACACAACCGTTAAAGGTGGAAAGCTCATGCTTTCTTTTCCAGAAACTCTGGAAATTGGTGCCAGGACACGTGTCAGGCCATCCTGACAGCACCCATGTCAACATGCGTGTTAGCGTGTGATCAGTGGCTATTTCTGCAGCCACATCCCCTGCATTGAGGGGAGACTCAGGCAAATCCTGGATAGCCAAGATGTGGTTAGCTGGAGCAGGATCAGATTCTACAAGCTGTAGAGGCAACCTACTAAGGCCATCTGCATGGCCCATTTCCTTGCCCGGTTTGTGAACCAGGGAGTAGTCATATGCAGAAAGGAAAATTGACCACCTCAGCATTCTAGGAGAAATTATGTGTGGGGTTTGATTGTTCATTGTGAACAACCCCAGCAATGGCTTATGGTCTGTAAAGACCGTGAAGTGGCGACCATACAAAAAGTCATGGAACTTTTTTATGCCAGCCACTATGGCCAAGGCTTCTCTGTCTATCTGCGCATAATTATGCTCAGCAGAAGACAGAGTTCTTGAATAGTATGCTACAGGAACGTGAGTTCCATCAGTCTTGAGGTGACTTAAGACAGCCCCGATCCCATAAGGGGATGCATCGCAGGCTATACACACATGCAGCTACTCATTGAAATGAGCAAGAACAGCATTTGAAGACAACAATGCCTTGACCTCAGCAAAACTCCTTTTGTGGACTTGTGTCCACTTCCATGGAGCCTGTTTGTCCAAGAGCCGGTGTAACGGCTCTGCCACTGCAGCTTTGTGGGGGAGGAAGGAATGGTAAAAATATAGAAGCCCAAGGAAGGCTTGAAGCTCGCTCTTCGACTTGGGACTTGGGGCCTGCTGAATTGCTTTGAGCTTAGATTCAGCAGGATGGATGCCTTCAGCATCTATGAGAAACCCCAAGAATTCAGTGGAAGTCACTCCAATTTTGCATTTTTCCTGCTTAAGCTTCAGCTTAAGAAGCAACCGCAGCAAAA